GCTAAATTGTAAATATTCATTAATGAAAATGAAAGGTTCAGGAGTTACAAGTAGTTACTAGAACAAATTGAAGCTCTTAGGGAGTTGATCTCATGGCAAAAAAAGTAAAAACATGGGAACAACATACAATCGAAACACTTCCGGAGCTTTATGTTGTGAAACATTCAATCCCGAAAAAGTAGCGATAGATTTCAATCCGCCTACTCGACATAACCATAATGGTTATCGAGTTGTGACGAAGAGATGACGATGCTATTTATTCTTCCTAAATCCATTTGGCGTGTTGACAATGCGGGGCTAACCGAGGAGCCGAGAAGCAAAAACCAATGCTTTAGAAGCCATTCAAAGGTGGCCCAAGAAAGTATCGTCAACGGCAACGTCTTCCAATCTTTCGATCACGTACTCCTCTCGCATCCCGTGAGAGCGGATGAAAGAACAATTCCGAGAGTTTAATACAAACAAGAGACCTCACAAACCACTCAAGGGAACGGTGCAAGCTCCCCCTACCACTTGGCCGATGGTGTACAGAGCCCAATAAAATACTAGCCACAACACCGAACCCAATGGTCATATTAGCTCCTCTAAAGCCTCGATAAAGAAACCCAACTCCAAACTAACCAGCAACACACCAACAACAACGTAACTTCAGGAGCAAGACACAAATAAACACCATGTCCAAAACTAACCTCAAGACTAGGATTACAATGCTGCATACACAAGAGATAGAACGCAACCACCACCGGTAGCTAAACCAACTCAAGAATGCAACACCTAAAGAACTGGGTAGCACGCGAGGGGAACATCACCAATGAATTCTCACACTCGAGAAGCCACTGTGATCACAGGCGCAAGAGAGCCTAAATCTGTCTAAGCAGGCTCACCAAGCGAGAGTAATCACTAACCGAGTCAAACGTCGAAGCTGTGACCCTTACCTAACTAACCAGTAAACATTACCCTGAAACTAGTCCAAGAGGGAAAGGCAAAGGGATTGTGGATCCAGCAATAAGAGACCAAACCGATCTCCCCCACTAGAGATCCCAAATACCTAAAGCCCAAGAGAACTACTTTTCACTTACGGTGACGACAGAGGGAACTCACAACCAGAGAGAGCAACCGACCACAACAGTCGTACCGACGGAGAGAGGCCCAGTTCACCGGAGAAGGAAAAGTGCGGCGCATCTTCAAGGAAGACCTAGAAGATGTCGAAGCCGTTTAGCGACGGAGAGGAAGAAGAACGACAACCAGACGTCGCTCCAGTGCCGATTTGTTCTTCGCCGTTGCCGAAATCGCTTGGCCAGAGAGGGATCTGCAAGCAGATGCACGCCGTGACGGATCAAAACCCATCGTCGAATTTGCTTGAGACAAGGGAAGGGTTATAGCTGTTCTCCACCGAAGGCCACCACCATCGACAAGTAGAAGCCAAGGCCGAGATAACCCAACTCATAGACGCGGTCGTCAAGCACGGCGCTTCTCCGGCCACTCACCGCAAAGTAGCCGAGCAACCTAGAACAATCCGATAGCAAATGGTACCAGAAGCGTAACATAAAGGGGTGGAGAAGAGGGCCCTCTCGCGGCACCGGACAAGCCGGTCACCGGAGAGGCGTGCTACAGATCGGAGGCCGAAAACGCTCGGCGAAAGTTTGGGGGAAAAAATCGGCCGCGTACGATTTTCTAAAGTTTTGTTAATGTAAAGTTGGAAATGGTTTATCACTCTTGTGGTTAAAACAATAAATTTGAGTACATATTTTTTTATTCCTATGACGATTGCACAACAAGATCCTTTATAAACCAAAGGTGTATAACCCGGTGATCTCTTCGAATGAAAGAAGATTCGTACGTAGATCTAAGCCAGAAAACAAGTTTTACTATCTACGAAAATTATTATAATATATTTTGGTAGTGTAAACATCCTAAATAACAGAAGTGCATGGTTTTTAACTGGGTTTGAAAATTAGTCTAAGTTTTGGGCGCAACTCTATTAGGGTTAATATATATATATCACCGTGAAGAAAAAATATCCACGTCTTTTTACACACCCTTAAATACAATTGTTCCCAATCAATTTAGTTTCTTA